TGTATCATCTCATATTTGTCCATTATATTCCATTCTCTTTGGTTTACAAAAATTTAGCTTTCATTCCTATAAAGCGTCAATCCTTTCTTTCTTTTTCCTTGACTTTAGCCACTAATACATTTTACTTCAGACTTCATAATACTCTGTCTCATCCTTATCTTTGATTTCTAAAGTTAGTCTGTCCATCTCTGCACAGACTAATATTTTCCTTATTATTTCACTTTCTGTAGGGGTATCTTCATTCTTCCAGTTTTGGGCATACACCAATCTTGCAGTTATTATTATGTATCATTAAATATATTGTTCCTTTACTGGATTTCTCATTAATAATTCCCAGTAAGAACGTTCTGGTCTGAACTCTAGTTTCTGGTTAACCATCTCTTCTATCCAAACCTTTATTTTCCACCAGTATTTTTTTTTTGCTTTTATACATTTCCACCACATATGATAATAGGTCCCTATCTCTATGTTACATTTCCAGCAATGTGGTGATGTACTTTTATTAATTTTGGCCAATCTAGTTGGAGGAAGATGCCATCTGTAAAACATTTTATATTGGTTCTCTTTATACGAAGTTGTCAATGTTAATTTTCTATTTCTTTCCCATAACTTTTGCCAATTGTCTAACTCTATTACCAAAATTTTGAACCCATTTTATTATTACTTTTTTGACTCCATTACTCCATTTTATATTCTAGTAGATATTTGTATATTCTCTTGACTGTTTTCCCCTCCATTCCTAATAGTTTCTTATCCAATGCCATCAATTCTCTCTGTATGTCCCATTCTTTCATGTCTTTCTTGAATCTTGATTGGATTTGTAGGTATGCCCACCATTGGAGTTGTATCCCTTCTTTCAGTTCATGTCTGGATTTTAGTTCCCCTTTTCCATCTAGTAGATTTTTGTATGTAATGACTTTCCCCATATTAATAAAATTTGGATGCACTATTGCTTCTAGTGTTGAGAGCCATACTGGATTCTTTATGTAATTTTGCTGTATAGTTTTTATCCATACCTTAAGTAGATTATGTCTTACATAATGCCTCTGGAAGTACTGTTGGACTGTATGTTTTTCATCCCATAAAAAAGTATGCCATCCTGGTTGTAGGTCATGTCCCTCCAATGTTAGTAACCTCCTATTTTTTATTTTTATCCACTCTCACACCCAATTTAATGCAGGGGCTTGGTAATACAGCTCCCAATCAGATAAACCAAATCCCCCTCTTTCTTTGGCATCTTGTAATAATTTTAATTTAACTCTCTGTTTCCTCCCCTGCCAAATAGATTTCAATATTGTTTTATTCAAATCTTCAAAGTATTTTTTCTCTAATTTCATTGGTATGTTTTGGAAAAGAAAAAGTATTTTAGGTAGGATATTCATTTTTATTGCTGCAATTCTACCCATAAAGGAGAGTTGCAGATTTAAAAACAAATTAAAATTAATGAACCCCAAAAATATAGTTACACACAATGGAATTAAAGAAAGTGAGGATTAGATGAAATACAGAAATAAAAAAATGTAAATAATTTTTAACTTTGCAGGATTCAATCTGGATCCAATCAGATTAGATCCTGCAATACTATCCTGGGACATGTATATTTGCCTTCATTCATTTAGAATTTTGTGGAATCGAAATATAGTACTTCTAAACCATGGGGTGATTTTACTGAATGGAGCCACAGTTAATATTTTTAAAGGCCCACCAGTCATAGAGAAAGAGCCAAATTAGATGCATGTTTAAGGTTGTGCTACTTCCTGAATTTGACTGGGGATCTTTGAGAAAACATGGAAGGATATAGAAAAAAAGATAACTTAGTAGCTAACACATCAAGAAGAGAAAAGTAAAAGAGGACATAGAACCACCAAGATCAGGGGTGTCAAACTCAATTTCATTGAGAGCCACATCACCATTATGGTTGCCGTCAAAGGGCTAGTTGCATGTAAGACTATGATAACTTACAGTGGCCAGGTGGGAATGGCTGATTGGGGTGGCTGGGTGGTCACAGCCAATCACTACAACTAGGTGGGCATAGCTGGGTAGATGTGACTGGCTCAGTGCCACTTATTGGGCGCAGATGACTCAGGATGGAGCAAGTCATGGTGGCTAACTCAACATGGGGACAGTTCAGTGCCCCACAAGCTCTTTGCCTTCCCAAACTGCTGGCAGGCAACCGTGTGTGTGTGTGTGTGTGTGTGTGTGTGTGTGTGTTTATACGCGTGCGCACACACACTGTATTTTAAGTTTGGGGACTTTTATCCACATAGAAAGGAGAGGGTCTTCTCAAACCTAGGCTTGATTGGCAGTTTGCAAGCTCAGATGTGGATAAAAATCTCCAAGCTTGGAGTGGTGTGTTGTGTGTGCACACGCACAAACACACACAACATAACAAAGAAAATGTTCTTCCCCCAATCCCAGACATTGTTAGCATTACCCTGTCTGGTGCCCCCTCCCATCATAGCAGGAGCTGGAGGACTGAGAATATAATTACTTTTCTCAGTTTTTTTGTATCTCCACACGGAGATAATGTTTTATTTCTCCCAAATTCTTTAATTCAAATTTCTTTTCCAACTTATTAGCAAATTCGTTTATCTGTGATACATCCTTTGCAATGAAGCAAAAGATCATCCACAAATGTTAATAGTTGACAATCCCCACCTATTACAAGGTGGGGATTTCCAGTGTATATGCAACCATCAGCCTTGCAACTCTTGAACCCAAGACCTTTCAATGCTTTATCTAGACATATATTCTAATTCCTGGCTGACTGCTTCAGCCCATAAATGGCCTTGTTCAATTTATACACCATGTCAGGCTTTTTATTTTCATACCCTGGTGCTTGAACCATGTAAATTTCTTCCTCTAATTCTGCATTGAGGAATGCAGTGGTTATGTCAGAATGCTAGATTTTATGGCCATGTGCCACTGCCAACGCTAGTGCCTTCACTCTTTACAGTTGGCGCAAATACCTCACCATAATGCACATTTTTCATCTGTGAAAACCCTTGTGCTACTAACCTTGTTTTAAATTGTATCTCATTATTGGGCAGTATTTTCTTGTATACTGACTTGCATTCTACAGTTTTTCTACCCTGTGGTAAAGTCATAGATGGAAACACTTTATGTTCTCCCATGGATTTCATTTCCTTGTCCATGGCTTCTTTCCATTTTATTTGTTCAATTTTAGGTAATGCCAATATTTCCTTATAGATCCTTGGCTCATATGATACATTACACACTTTAACTTTACTAGTAGAATATCTGTCAGTGGAATCCCTTTGTTCCATCGCTCCGATCTGCGTGGCATTGATTGCTCCTGTGCTTCAACCTTCTCTAGCTTCATCTTTTCAGCTTCTCCTCCCTGAAAGCTGACACTGTCACTAAGCGAGTTACCATCACTTAGTGGATTACCATCACTAAGTGGATTACCATCACTAAGTGAGTCATTCCAGAAATTTAATCTGTGCTTCCAAAATTGCCCTCTCTTCTGGTTCAATTTCACATAAAGAGTTTGTCTTCTTCAATTTGTGCGCCAATCTTCACCTATTCTTCACCTATTCCACTGAGCTGCAGTGATGCAGTGCAGTAATGCAGGCTACTTTTGCTGATCCACTGGCTGCCAGAGTTTGGCAGTTCAGGTCTCACTGGCTCAAGATTGATTCAGCCTCCCATCCTTCTGAGGTCAGTAAAATGAGGACCCAGATTGTTTGGAGCAATATGCTGACTTTGTAAACAGCTTAGGGAGGGCTGTAAAGTGGTATCTAAGTGCTATTGCTATTGTTTCATATCTCCATTCAAACATTGGTTTTTCTCCTAAAGTTCCCTAGCTAAAGAATCACTCTTGGATTCAAGCTTTATTCCCATAGATTGGATCAACTTATGTGTCTTAGCTGTGTATTTGTTCATAAAGGGTCTCAGAAATTCTATATCTCTTGATAAACTTTCCAGTTTTCTGTTGTCCTGTGAGTAGCCATTTGGGTAGAATGTAATAAATTTGAATTTTTAAATTTAAATTTAGAATTGTTAAAGTTAATTTTTAAAGTTAGAAGTTTTAAGTTTGTAGCATTAAATCCTCTGGATTTAATCATGCTACTGAAACATTAAAAAGAATTAGCAGTACTATAGTCTTTTGTGGTAAATTACCCCTTTACACAAATAGCCCAAAAAGCTTAGGCTCTGCCTCTTTTTTAAAAAAACTCTGGTGGCTAAACCAATCAGAAGGAGTTAAAATCAAAACTGTTTCACCCCTTCCTCATGGCAAGCAGCGAGCTCAAAACACCATTCAAATGATTCTTATTTTAAGCTCAAAAAGAAAAGTTCGGCAGAGTTGGCTAGCAGTATAATCCTCTGGAAAATTTAACTCCAAAAGTTTCAAAAATAGTTTCTACAATGCTTTAGTTTTTAGTAGTTTCCAGCTTCTTTATTTTGGCTTGGTTAGACCAACTCCTCCCTCCTCATCATCTTGAAATCACAAAGCCTCAAAAATGACAATTGTTCCACAAAAAGGAAATGGCAGACTGCAACTAACTTTCACATGAAAGGTAAATATGCAAAAAAATCTTAGTGCCCAAGAAATGGTGGTACCCTTTATTGTCCGTTAAGAACACCTGGTTCTTCCACAGTGAACTTGCATGGTTGCCCTGCCCCAAAGCTAGGGACTCACCCAATTACTACTACTTCAAGCAGCAGTCTGAGAGAGTCCGACTATTCAGGGGAGCAAAAGGGTTGATTTCCAAGCCTTCCCCTTTCCCATGGGGTGCATGTTCTTCTGGCTTACAAAACATTTAAAGCCTGTAACTCTGCAGAAAATGTAACAAAGATCAAATCTCTACTACTTCAAGGGCCAGAAGTTCTGCTGGAAGTTCAGTTGTGTTTCGTATATCTAAGATGAAAATATTTGTGGCCATTAACGTCTACCTAACAATTTATTTTTTGCTACTGGGTTTTTTGTGATCTGTTGATTCATTTTTGTCTGTCTCTCTTATTTCCCTCAATTGTAGAACTTGAAGCGTGTAATGGCAGATGAGGTAAGAGCAATTGTGTTATATATTTTTGGCATTAGCTGTTTTTGTAAGTTATGTATAAATCCTGGTATAAATTTTGTTCATTCTCTTCCTGGAGTTTTTTTTATTAACATTCTGACTGATAACTTTTCTCTTTTGTGAAGTGCTTACCTTGATATAGTATATCAACCATTTTTAAAGATAGTATAGTATTCTTGTCTCTGTTACTGTACTTCCTGATGCTATTCTTTTTGCAAGAATGTTATTATTATTATTATTATTATTATTATTATTATTATTAATCGAATTTATATTGCCACCTATTCACCCATGGCGACTTGAGGCGGCTTGCAGAATGTAAAACCACTTTTAAAATAAAAAACAATAAAAAGAATCAAATAAATTAATACAGTACAATACAACAAAATCTGGAAAAATAAATAAATAAATCACCCCCAACCCCACCCACCCCCGCCCCAACGACAGCAGATCACACGAGCCATTTGATAGGCTCCATCCCGCTCTGCGTTCCCCAGGTTTTCTGGCAGACCTTCTGTGCCTTTCAGAAGGGTATTGGACAGTGGGCCATTCTTATCTCTGGGGGAATGATGTTCCAGAGGGAGGGATGCCACCACGGAGAAGGCCCTTCTTCTGGGTCCCACTAGGTGTATCTCCCTCAGGGATGGGACCCGCAGCATTCCCTGCCTTCCCCCTCTAATGGGTTGGGTAGATGTGATCGGCAAGAAACGTTCAGATAAACTGGTCCCAAGCCATGAAGGGCTTTAAAGGTGACAACCAGCACCTTGAATTGCACCCGGAAGCAAATCGGCAACCAATGCATCAATTATCCAACTGGGTGGAGTCCAGCGATGGCTTCTTAAGAAGTGCTGGGGCACCATCCCCTCCTGTAGGGAAGCATTTATCACTGCCAGAATCCACCCTAGTCACCACCTGGGAAGCTTTCACAAGCCAGGAGGGACATGAGTCTAAAACACAGGTGCTTGTGCATATACTCCCTAGGATCCTGTCCACTTCCTCAGGAGCAACAGGGTCAAACTGTTCCCAGATAAGAGGGCAAGAACCTGCCTCAGGAGCTTCCACCAGAGCAGCAACCTCGCTGGCATCTAACTGGGAACGAAGTCGAGCGATTTTGTTTCCAGAAAACCCGCAAATTCCTCAGTGTGCCCCTTCAGGTGGACCTCAATGTCCTCCTTCTCCAGGAGGAGACTGCTCACCTTAAAGAGGGTTGCTGGGCAATTATCTGCAGATGTAATTAGTTTGAAGAAGTATTTACACTTCACCACATGAATCGCCACGAGGTAGGCCTTAGTAGCAGCTCTTACACGTGTTCAATCGAGTTCATCTCCTGTCTTCCTCCAGCAGCGCTCTAGACATCTCATGCATTTCATCCCTCTCAGTTCCTCTGTATACCACAGGGCACAGAGATGTCTATGAGTGAGGAGAGATCGCAAGGGTGCAATCCTATCCAGAGCCTCAGTCACCTTCCTATTCCAAACTGACTAAGAGCTTGGCTGGAACTGCACAGTAGATCTGCAGTTATAATCTCCAGCTCCTTCCATCTTGACCCCATATAGAATTGTAACATTGTCACAAAGGGCAGGTAGTTAGGCTTAAATGGCCACATCAAATATATGAAAGGTGAGAAAGTAAATACAGTTCAAACTACTATTAAGCATTGACAACTCAAAAGAGTCAGTTTAATAAAATAACAGCTCCTTAATTGGGCCTTATTTCAGTGACAGATAACTCATTAACCATTCTGCATTTAATCTTCTCACTGACCTCTGTGCTTGGAATTGCATCTGCAACGCTATATGTGGGTATAGGTTTTATATACAGCAGCGGAAAAGCCATCAGTTTTGTAAAGCATTTTGCAGACATTTGATTCAATACTTCAAAGTGAATCTCTGTTGTGATCTGTAATCTTTTAATGGAATGATTCAGTTGAAAATTCAGTGAAAGCCCCACTGGAAGCTTTACACAGTTCTGTAATTAGCAGAATTGTATGAAGAGATTTAAAAGAGCATTGATTTTTATTTTTCTAGTACATTGCCAAAATACTCATATATTATAGTTAAGAAAGTAGCACAATTTAAAATTGAATGGAAAAGAAGAATAGAAAAAGCACACTAATGTTAATTTTAATATTTTATTAATCAGCTTGAGAGATTCACCAGTATGAGGATAAAGAAGGAGAAAGAAAAACCCAATACAACATATAGGAATTCATCTACTTCATGCTCAGATATTTCAGGGTCAGGTCAGACATTGCAGGATATCTCTGATGAAGATGTGCTGGTTCTCTTTGAGCAGATGCTGGTAAGTACCATTAAAATTATATCTTGAGAATAACAAAACTAAAAGTTTCTTATGCTTATAGTTATGCTGAAATGAATGTGTGATTTCTGTGATGTGAAAAATTCTCTTTCTGCTCTGGGAAGGAAGACTTTGATTTGTTTTTCTACTACAGCAAGTAAACAAAAATCCTAAAACCAGAATTCATTAGGGAGAAATAGCAATAGCACTTTAGACTTACATATCACTTTACAGTACTTTACAGTCCTCTCTAAGCAGTTTATAGAGTTAGCATCTTTCCCCCAACAATTTGGATCCTCATTTTACCCACTCTGGAAGAATGGAAGTCTGAAATCAAGTATTGTTACTTGTATGTTTTCAAAATCTGGTTGGTGTCATAGCAAGACAGCCAAGGGATAGCAGGGCTCCACGAAACCCCGGCTGATTCCTCTCTGGAGGTCCTCTAAATATGGTAGAGATTATGACAAATGTATGGGTTGATCATAACTCATTAAAAATAATTTGGAAAGGAAGGAAAGGAAGAGTAGAAGGTGGATACTTAATCCCCAAATCTTAAAGGAGAAAGATTTTGTAGAGAAAATTAAGAAAGAAATGGAACTTTTTTAAAAGGAAAATACAGTGGAGCAAACATCATTACAGAATATATGGGATATAGCAAAGGCAGTCTTGAGGGAGCTGGTAATAGCACATACAGCGAAAAGGAATAAGGAAAGATGGCAAAATCAGAATAAATTACAGGAGGAGATTAAAGACCTAGAAAGCAGATTACCCAAAAAACTACAAGATGAAAAAATGAGGAGGGAGATAATTCTTACTAGGCATAAATTGAACATTATAAATCAGGAAGAGCGAGTCAAAGAGGTGAAAAGGGCAAAACAGATTTTTTTCAAACATGCAAATAAACCAGGGAGGTGGTTAGCCCATAAATTAAGATTAGAAAAAGAAAGAAGGTTGATACAAGAATTGGAGGATGATGATGGAAAATTAAAATATCGAATGACTGAGAAAAAGAAAATAGTTCAAAAATATTTCGGACAACTATATAGGGAGAATGGAATAAACCCTGTGTCAAGCATCCAGAAAGTATCCATGATATCAATCACTCTGAGATGTTATCTCTCCAATTGATTTATTAGGAGCAGATCTGGCATGTCAAAAGCAATTTCCCAAGTGAAATTTTTTTTTGGCGCGTTACACAGAACCCACCTTCTCTCCTCCCACTTTTGTACTTCATAAATCACGAGAACCAATTAACTGCAACTGAAAATTCTTAATACAACACACAAAATAACCTTGAACTTTTCAACTCCTCTAACTCTCGAAAAAAAATGTGGCAGCTGAATTTCAAAGCTGACAGGCACCCCCCCTTGAAAACTCCTCCTAAAAGAAAAGAAAAAACACACACATAGGGGTTAATACATCGTCCTTAACCCCTTCTCCCCCCATCACGGGGACACTTCGGTTTGTGGGGAAAATCCTCATGGAATTGGTTAACCAATTGATCAGCATGAACATCCCAACTCTTTACCCAACTAGCATCTGAGAGGGGGCATCCTTTCCATAAGACTAAATATTGCAATCAGCCATGGTGTAATCTAGAATCAAGAATTTTTTGAATCTCATAATGTGTTTCCCCATGTACCGTCAGTGGTTTTGGGGGAGTGAGTGGTAGTGGTCTTATCGATGTAGTAGCTGGTTTTAGTAAACTATAATGGAACACTGGATGAATTTTCCCCAGTAGTCGAGGAAGACGTAATTGGACAGTGACCGAATTGATTATCTTTGAAATTGGGAATGGACCCAAAAATTTTGGACCCAGCTTTTTACTGGGCAGTTTCAACCTAAGATACTTGGTCGACAAATATATTTTGTCCTCTACTTTAAAAGGAGGTTGAAGGGATCTATGTTTATCCGCTTGTTTTTTTATAAATTTTTGCAGCTTTGTTCAAAGCTTTTTTTGTGTCTTCCTGCCGTTTCTTTAATGAATTCATCCATTCTGTTAGGGACATGGATGAGGGAGGTTGTCTAGGTAACTCTGGCATCGGGACAAAATCCATTCCAGTGTTGATTTGGAATGGAGTCAATCCCGTGCTGCTATGTACTGCATTATTGTAAGCAACCTCTGCAAAAGGTAATAAGCCCAATTTTCTTGTTGATAATTTACATAGCATCTAATGTATTGTTCAATCCTGGCGTTAGCTCTCTCCGCTGCCCCGTTACAAGCAGGATGGAAAGCTGAGGATAACCCTTGAGAGGAGCCAATGGATTTCAGAAATTCCCTCCAAAATTTTGCAGTAAATTGTACCCCGCTGTCTGATATTACTCTGTGAGGTACACCATGTAGTCTATAGATATGTTTCACAAACAGCTTTGCAAGTTTTTTCGCAGATGAAAGCCCTTTAAAGGCAGGCTATAAAACGGGCCTGTTTAGAGAATAAGTCAATTATAGTCGAAATGACTGTATTCCCTTTACTCTTAGGTAATTCAACAATAAAGTCCATTGCAATTTCTTCCCAAGGTTGGGCTGGTTCAGCAACTTGTTACAGGAGGCCAGGGGCTTTCCAGTTCTGTGTTTCATCGTGGCACAAATTGAACAACTTTTTACACAGTCCTTGACATCAGGTTTCATTTTTGGCCATCAGAACTGTCTTAGTAAATGTAGGGTTTTTAGGAATCCGAAGTGGCCTCCCAGCTGGGAGTCGTGGCTACGCTTTAGTTCCAGTAGTCTTAGGGTTGTGGGTACATAAAGCTTAGTCCCTTTCCAAGCTAGTCCATCATTTATTGTCGCCTCGGTTTGATGGTCCAGGAACCAAGGGTCGGTCAATAGGACCGTTTTCAATTCCGCAGCCAGCTTATCTTCCAGGAGTTTGGGGTTCCAGTTAGCTTAGGTTTGAGTGGTTACCTGGCCGGCCAATTGAGCGTCTGACATTAAGGCTTGTACTATTTCCTCTTGGTGGCTGTCAAACTGAGGTTTTCCGGACAGAGCATCCGCCAGTACGTTTTCCCTCTGGGAATATATTTAATGTTGAAATTGAATTGCTTGAAATATAGGGCCCAGTGGACTTGTTTGGGCGATAATCTCCTAGGGGTCTTTAGAGTTCGAGGTTCTTATGATCAGTCCATACCTCAAAGGCCTCTGGCGCCCCTTCTAGAAAATGCCTCCAAGTCAACAAAGCCCATTGTATGGCAAATGCTTCTTTCTCCCAGAACACCCACCTTTGCTCTGCGTCTGTCAGTTTTTTGGAAACATAAGCGCAAGGCATCAGTCTGTCTTGAGAGTCTTTTTGCAGCAAAACGGTTGCCACCGCTACATCACTTGCATCTGTTTGGACAATAAAAGGCTTGGTCACGTCTGGGTGCTTGAGGATGGGCTCCATTGCAAAGAGGCATTTTAATGTTTCGAAAGCTTTCTGACAGTCCATAGTCCAAGCCAGGGGTTGACTCGGCTTTGGTTTGGTGGGTGATGGGCCCGTTTTTAATAGCTCTGTCAACGGGAGGGCAACTTCAGCAAAGGATGGAATGAATTGTCTATAGAAGTTGGCAAACCCCAAGAAACTTTGAAGTTGTTTCCGGGTTCTGGGGGTTGCCAGTCCAGCACTGCTTTCACCTTTCTGTGTCCATTTCAATCCCCAGGTTGGATATACGGTAGCCTAGATAGTCTAGCGACTCTTTGTGGAATTTGCATTTTGAGAGTTTCACATATAATTTGGCGGCTAAAAGTTTTTCTAGAATTTGTCGGACCAATTGAAGATGTTCTTCCATGGCTTTCCTGAAGATAAGGATATCATCAGGTACATGAGGACCCCTCAGTAAAGGTGCAGATGTTGCACCTCATTGATGAGCTGCATAAACACTGCAGGAGCCGCCTGAAGTCCAAAAGGCATGACTTTGAATTGGAAGCTACCCAGAGGGCAGTTAAAAGCAGTTTTCCACTCATCTCCATCTTTGATGCGGACATGGTAGTAAGCTTCCCTGAGATCTAGCTTGGTGAATACTTTGCCCTTCGACAGGTGATTCAATAAGTCCTTCGTGAGAGGGAGAGGATACATGTTTTTGACACATACTACTTTCATGCCTCTAAAGTCAACACACAATCTCAATCCGCCATCTTTCTTCTCCTTGAACAACATGGGGGCAGCTAATCTTGATTTGGCAGGCTCAATAAAACCTCATTCCAAATTGCTGTTGATGTATTTCCTTAATTCAGCCATTTCAGCAGGCGTCATGGAATACATCTTTGGTTTTGGTAATGTCGCCCCGGGCTCTTAATTCTATGGCGCAATCAGTGGCTTGATGGGGAGGTAAAACATTACACTCTTCTTCACTGAATACTTTAGTCAAATCTTTGTATTGGTCGGCTACCTGGTGGTTATCTGGGAGAAGGTGGGATGCCATGGATGCTGGTTCAGGCTCTGGGTTCGAGCTGACTTGTGGCTTTTTTAGTGGGTGGAAGAGGGGGCAATGGGCCCAGTCAAAAAGGATTTTTCTGAATCCATCCTCCCATTTGATCGCCGGGGCCCATTTGTCTAACCAAGCAAGTCCCAGTATTGATTCTGACATATTGGGGGCCATTATGAAGCGTATGATTAATTCTGTTGAGTGGCAAAATAAACATACTACCAAAACTATTAGACTATTTTCAAACAATTCCTATAAAATTGGATAAGAATTTTTTTCAGGAATTAGATAGGACGGTAATGAAATTTATATGGATGGGGAAAAAAGCACGAAGAAAATTTAAAAAGTTGCAAGACAGTCGAACCAGAGGCAGCCTTGGACTCTCAAAATGGGAGACATATTATCAAGCAGCAATTTTACTATGGGTTAAGAATGTGGATAAATTTAAAAAATAAAAGAATTTTGGCGGGATAGAAGGTCATGACCTTCAAATTGGGTGGCATGCCTTTCTATGGAATAAAAATAAGATCCACTCCTATTTCCATAGACATATGATAAGCATTATTTGAAAAGACCAAACTGGATCTCACCCATGGAAGCTATAT